TTTTTTTTTTTTTGTGGAAGGGAGGCGGGATGCTTTTTCATTGCCCCGAGACCGATTTACGTAATAAGAGTTACAGACGAGAAACAGGCAACAAACAGAGAGACATACATAAATACATATACATACATATACACACACGAAATGCGTGGGAGGGAGAGAAACTGGTGTGTGTGTCCGTGTGTGTGTGCATGGCAATGGAAAACACGATGGAAGGAAGTTTGTAATTGTAATCAGTGCAGGGTTGAACAAAGTTGAGAAAGAAAAGGAGAGAGTGGCGCGTGTACACAATTAAGATGAAAATATATGCACGAAAGTGTGTGAATAAGAGAAAGAGAGAGAGAGAGAGAGAGAGAGAAAGAGAAAATCGTAATCTCGCTCGTATCGCGATGTGTGTATTATATAAGATATACAGTTTACAATTATTTGTAATGGATACTTTTTATTTGTCAAATAAAAGTTAGTACAAATGAAAGTAAAGCGGGAATGACTTTTGTTCCTGATTGGAAACTATGGTTTTGTCGACTCTTCTTTTTTTTTTTTTTTTTTAAGGTTTCGCGAAGTCGACGAGGCTCTGAACAAAACGGAACGCTATTTTTTTATATTGTTCATTCTGGCTATCGTTTTATTAATTAAATAACTCTTCTACGGACAAATTTCTACGCCCACAGCAGGGTAAAGAAATCTTTTCCATCGATATCACAGACGATAGTGTATTTTTTATCGGCGTGTACTGACCCATTAAGAACCAAGCTACAAATTATAGACATATAAATTACAGAGATGTTATAAATTTCTTGAAATTTTGTTAAATCGTAGAACCTACAGCCAGTCGCAGATACGTACATCTGTCAAATTTCAGATATTTAAGATGGAACAGGAAAGATTTTGAACATTCTATGCATCTTAATTAACTTGTTAGTTAAAATTCTAAGCTCACTCTTGTTTAAAAAAGGAGATACAAATAAATCGAAAACACGAATAAAACATATTCTGATTATAATTGTAACAACAATAAGAAAATACTTCGTACACCTTTAGGGTCAAATATTTCAAGTCCCCTGATGTGTATAGTGGTAGGCATTCGTGGCTGGCTGTCAAAGATATAGAAAATATTAAAAGCGAGTCCACAGAACTTCCTTTCACAGATATCGATGACATCGTGTTTAATGACCGATTAAGAAGAATTAGCAGTTGGTCCTTGATGGGTTAAAGAGAAAGTAGCGTAGGATCAGTGAACAAAAAATTCGTACGATCGTTACAATGAGAGAATCAGTACGTCGCTATATCCCTCTTTATTCCATGCAGTTTTACGTTTCTAGTTCTTTATAACAACCATACTTACGCTACAGGATACGTTTTCGACTTAAAAGGATAATCTTTGGCTCAACGAAACACC